GACTGGCGAAGCGACTCAACGGCCTGCTGACTCCTTATGTCCCTTGCGCCTTCAGCCTGAAGTCTCCAAAGGAATTTGTTGACTTACTGCAGGGCACACGGGCCACAGGGATAAGAGCCTCATTGGACGTAGAATCACTGTTCACCAACGTACCTGTGGACGAGACAATCGGGATGATAGCCGACAGAGTGTATCGTGATCCAGCCTGTACTCCTCTTGACATACCAGAAAATATTCTAAGGAAACTACTCCAAGCTTGTACTAAAGAGGCACCCTTCTTGAGCACGGATGGGCACATGTATAAGCAAGTAGATGGGGTCGCCATGGGTTCTCCCCTAGGTGTCCTGTTTGCAAACTTCTACATGGGTACCATCGAGCAAAAAGTCTTAGTCGACATGAACTTGAAACGGGCCATATACTACAGGTATGTTGACGACATTTTTACACAGGTACCTGATGTCAGACATCTGCAGGAGCTGAAGGAGGCGTTTGAGCAGAGTTCCGTGCTGCGTTTCACTTATGAGATGGAAAAGGATGGGAAGCTGCCCTTTCTAGATGTAACATTCATGGAAAAGAGCGGAGGTTTCCACACTGCAGTCTACACTAAGGAAACGAACATAGGAATGTGCCTAAATGCCAACAGCGACTGCCCAGACAGGTACAAGAGGAGTGTTGTTAACGCATATGTCGACCGTGCTCTCAGCCACAGCTCAGAATGGAAGCAAGTCGACGAAGAACTCTGTAGGGTAAGGCAGGTCCTAGTCAACAACAGCTTCTCCAATGGTTTCGTCGAAGACATCATAAGAAGGAAAGTGAAACGCCATGCAACCTCTGAAGAGACAACTAACACAACACCTATACCCCCTATTAGCCTATTTTACAGGAACTTCTTTTCCACAGCTCATAAAACGGAGGAAAGGGTCCTGAAAGATATTGTTAATAGAAACGTTATCCTTACAGACAAAAATCAGAGGATACAACTGACGATTTACTATAAAACCAGAAAAACGGCCAGCCTATGCATGAGAAACTCTCCAGACACAAAGCAGAACGCTTTAAAAGAGACCAACGTCGTCTATGCCTTCAAATGCCCTCTTGGGGACTGCAAGCTCCAAAAAACCCAGTATATAGGCAAGACAACAACATCTCTTTCTAGGCGTTTAACGATGCATAAGCAACAGGGCTCCATTAAGGAACATATAATCTCTTCCCACAACCAAACAATCGCCAGAGAAATCCTAGTAAACAACACAGAAATCATCGATAGATACAGCGATAGCAGGCGGCTTGACGTTTGCGAGGCACTACACATTAAAAAGTCAACACCAGCAATCAACAGCCAATTAATGCACAACTATATTCTACCCACCTCAAGACTCCGCTCCAATATAGAAGCATCAAGAAATATGGACCAATAGGCTTTCTACAATCACTTCCATTCAATACCCATTGTTTCATGTTCTGTCTTGTGTTGATGAAATTAATACCCTATTAATGCCATTGTTTCATGTTCTGTCTTGTGTTGATGAAATTAATACCCTATTAATGCCACCTCACCCCATCCACCTCACTCAAAGGTAGATATAAACAAATCGGAGATGTGTAAGTTCTATTCAGTTGTGTATGTGTAAACTAAAGTCTTTGAAAATGTAATAAGTTTTACGAAACGCGCTCAAGTATCGCGTCAGACTAGAAATAAAAATGAATTTTGGAGAATTGATTTTTGAATTACCACCAACAGTGAAAAGAAATGTATGAAAGATCGAGAAAATTCGTGTTAGAATTATTAATCTTACTTTTTCGGTCATATTTAATAATATATGTCTACAGGAAAGACTGCTACCAAAATATACTAATATATATATATATATATATATATATATATATATATATATATATATATATATATATATATATATATATATATATATATATATATATATATATATATATATATATCGCACGACGTTTCGAACCTACATAGTTCTTTATCAAGTGATGTTACAGTCCAGAACATTATATTTTATACTAATAGCGGGTCAGGTGAATACAAATGGATCGAACAATGGGGTCTTGTGTCAACAAAGGGTGCACAATGGGTAGACATTAAGGAGAAATGGGTGTAAATTCGGTAGATAGAAAGGAGAACAGAAGCTAAGGATCAGAAGGTTAAATAGGGTACATACAAAGTTTAATCAAGCGTAGTGGGCGCTGTTTGTTGAGGAGTGTCTTGTGTGTTGGCATCGTTATGTTCCTGTCTTGTTTTTACTCTCATGGTGGGTAGAGTGAATTGTTCCGAAATTTGGGTATTCATGATAGGTTGTTCTATTTTTATGTAAATTGCTTCAAGAGCAATTCTCAGCCACCGGCTCCTGTAGGAGCCATATAGGGCTTCTACAGGAGCCGGTGGCTGAGCGGACAGAACACTGGATGCGGGATCCTATGGTCCTGGGTTCGATCCCGAGAACTGGCGAGAAACAATGGGCAGAGTTTCTTTCACCCTAATGCCCTTGTTACCTAGCAGTAAATAGGTACCAGGGAGTTAGTCAGCTGTCACGGGCTGCTTCCTTGGGGCGGAGGCCTGACCGAGGACCGGGCCGCGGGGACACTAAGCCCCGAAACCATCTCAAGATAACCTAATTGTACTCTCTTAATTAGTTGTATTCACCTAGCTGAGCTCATCAAATGTTGCTCACCTTATTGAACTCACTTAGCTGTACTCACCTAGCTGTACTCAAATAGCTTTTATCATCTAGTTGTACTCACCTAGCTGTTCTCATCTAATTATACTCACTTAGCTGTATTCATCTAGCCATATTAACCAAGCAACACTAATCTGGTTGTAACAATCTAATTGAACTCACCTACTTGTATTCACCTTGCTGTACCCACTAACCTGTGGTGGGGAATTGTACTGACCTAACACAATTGTACTGCAGTAGTTCAATTGTACTGACCTAGTTGTGCTCACCTAGTTGTAGTCACCTAGCTGTGTTAACCAGCTAACTGTACTTAACCTAGATGCACTCACCTACATGTTCTCATATAGCTATATACTCATCTAGTTAAACTCAATTAGTTGTACTCACCCTGATAGTACTCACCTATCTGTATTCACACCGATGTACTCACCTAGTTGTACTAAGTTCGTTGTATTCCCCCCTACTTGTACTTCTCTAATTGTACTCACCAACTTACAATTACTCCCCCTAGTTGTACTTGTGTAATTGTACTTACCTACTTGTATTCACCTAGTACTCAAGTTGCACTAACCTACATGTACCCCCTCTAGTTGTACTCATGTAGTTGTATTCACATATGCAAGGTAACGAAACTAGGCGGTGGAAACAGGAGGCCAGACACAGGATACAAACTAGGAGATGAAGTACTTCATGAAACAGACAGAGAGAAAGATCTAGCAGTTGATATCACACCGAACCAGTCTCCTGAAGCCCACATAAAAATAATTACATCTGCGGTATACACGAGGCTGGCTAACATCAGAACAGCCTTCAGGAACCTGTGTAAGGAATCATTCAGAACCTTGTATATCACATATGTAGGACCATTCCTGGAGTAATGCGGCCCCAGCATGGAGCCCGTACCTTGTCAAGCAAAAGACGAAGCTGGAAAAAGTTCAGAGGTATGCCACTAGGCTAGTCCCAGAACTGACACGCATGAGTTACGAAGACAGGCGGCGTGAAATGCACCTAACGACACTGAAAGACAGAAGAGTAATGGGAGACATGATCGCTACCTACAAAAGTCTCAAAGGAATTTACAGGGTAGATAAGGATAAAATGCTTAACACGGGTGGTACACGGACAAAGGGACACAGGTGGAAACTGAGTACCCAAATGAGCCACATGGATGTTAGAAAGAGTTTTTTCAGTGTCAGAGTACTTAACAGGTGAAATGCATTAGGCAGTGATATGGTGGAGGCTGACTCTATACACAGTTTCAAATGTAGGTTTGATAGAGCTCCGTAGGCTCAGGAATCTGTACATCACTTGATTGATGGTTGAGAGTTGGGACCAAAGAGCCAGAGCTCAACCCCCCACAAGCACAACTAGGTGAATACATAGTTGTACTCCCCTAGATATGCACATGTAGTTGTACTAACCTAGTTGTACTCACATACTTGTACTCCCCTTCTTGCAGTCATGTAGTTGTACTCATCTACTTGTACTCACCCATTTGTGCTTAATGTAACATCTGCTATAATAAAGATGTATATAATAAAGAGGTATATTGATGCACCTTAATTTTTGTATTGAAATAAAAATAAAAAAATTAAATAAACAATTAGTAAAGAAAGTGTTTTGCACACCTTTCAAACAACTCAGACTCAACATTTAGTATAAATATTAATGTATGTTACAAAATGACATAAAAATTTAATAAATGAACATGAACAAATAGTTCAATGTATAAGGGAACAAATAGTGTAACATAATCCAATATCATAGAATAACTAAGTGTTTTAAAAGTATTTCATACTGATATTAAACAACATTCACAATTTATGTGTGTAGTGGACATAAATTTAATATTTAAACATGGAAACAAAATATTTTGTTAATATAAAGGAGAAACTAGTGTTAGAAAAGATATATTTTACCAAATTACATAAAGAAATACTTTTACCATTCTTGGGTTAAAGGTTTCTCATGTGCCCGCTGACCCATACTAGCAACTTTTCTTTTCCACATCCCTATGGAAACGATAGTAGGGGTAACAACAACGTCTTGTGTTTGCTGGGCTTCTATACCCTACTACCACCCAGCTGTATCCCACCACAACCAAGCAGTAACCTGTCACCATCTGGGTCTACCCCACCAGCACCTAGCTGTACCTCACCACCACTATCTAGCTGTACCCCACCACCACCCAGCTGTACCCTACCACCATCCAGTTGTACCCCACCACCACCACCTAGCTGTAACCCCCCATCACCTTCAGATAGCAGGAATAATCCTGCTATCGTGTGGCTGACATACTTGAGGTTGGAGTGCTTCAAGGAGACAGCAGAGGCAAGGAGGTCAGCAACGGTGCCAGAGCCCCGGACAACAACGATGGGTATGTCCTGCTCGAGCGTCCTGAAGCACCTCCTGATGTGCCTCAGCTCCCCGCCTGCCACCACAACCACCACCGGCACCTCCGCCTCACACAACGCTCCCTCCAACAACGACCTGAAAGGATATTATGTATATGAATTGAAGAAATTTCATCTGAGGCGGGTCCTATTGATCTACACCCAAACTCATTCATATGTTTGGATAACCTACTCTTGAAACAACATTCGTATGTTGTTCTCATTCGTCATAGCCGATGATAGTTTGAGCTAAGAGCTCAGAGCATATTTAAATTTATAACCGGAAAGGCACTTATCCTGGGAGATGGCGTGTAGTACTGTGCCTGTTTAACATTCGCAAAACAATGTAAGGTTAACTGTTTGTGAGCTATTAAGCGAACATGGCGTCCTTGTTCAATTCAAGATGGCCAGGGGGTTTTATTTAATTTATTTCAATACTTGTAATTTAATTTAATTTATTGAATCATTTTCTAATATAATCAGTCCTCAGAATGATTCTGTTACAGTTATACTATGTAATCAGGTTTTGTTGCAAGATGATTTTAAGTGCTGTGGGAAACAGTTATTGTTGTACGATTCCTAGAGAGAAATTGTCACGTACGCCCTCATTTTAGGGCTAACTGATTTAATTTAGTTTATGATTTTTACACAAAAACAGCAGTAATTTCTTATTGCATGTTGTGGCAAATATATTAAATGATGTGGGAAGTTTTCCCACATAATTCCATGCGGGGAAACACGGGTCCGATTCCATTGTTTAAAGACTGACAGAACATGTTATCACTCCTCATCAGAATGATTAATATATTGTTTTAATTTAGTTTTGCATTTCTGTGCGACAGTTTGCATAGAATAATAGTCCCATATTGGGTTTGCATGTTGTGGAGTTCTTTGGGTGACTTCATCTCCCTATAACTCCAATAATATTAGTTTTTTTAGTGTCTTGAGGCTAGTGGTGCTTTTGTACTTCACTTCTACTATCCTCAAGAAACCATGACTGTCTGGATGGACGGAAACAATACAGCCTAAGAGCCATTCTGAGCGTGGACCGTCACTATCCACCAGAACTACATCAGTCATTAATTTTATACCATTATAGCGGTAGTTTGTCCTCATAGTGATACTCACAAAAAGCAGTTAAATATTCTCGAGTTCAAATTTCATTCCACCAACTAATTACTCTGGATAGGTGTTTATGACTCTGAACCAAGTTGCGCTCTCTGATATTAAAAGATCTCCAGGTACCTCGTCAATGAGGGACGCAATAGGAGTGAGAGGTTCTCCTTACATCAAATGAGATGGACTTAAGGGGCTAGGTGACGGTGCACCAAAATTTCCTCATACTTAATTATTTTTTAATAATATCTACATGGTAAATGCTGCAACTTTTCCTTATGGATCAACATCATAACTTGAAAAGAAAAAAGTTAAAAATAAAATAGTATAATAAAATCACATTTTAAAATATGGTGTCAAAATATTAATATGTAACGAATTATTATTTTATTCATTATGGTATCAGAATAGCATATAAGGCTTATGTTTCTTGTAAGCAAAATATTGTTTGAGAGTATAGTTTACTGTAGAACATATTTTCAATGTTGCCATCCAAATATGTGCAAAATTTAGACCCCCAAAAATGTATAACTCGAAACGTTATGGCCTTGCGACTAAACGACAACAAGATCACCTTAGAACTCAGAACTTTGCACATACTATATAAAAATGTTGAGCATCGATCAGAATCTGAATTTTTGGCCGTGTTTCAAAATTGAAAATTCTGTTCATAGAGAAAAATGAAGATAAAGTTCCTGACAATGTATGTAATACTTCGAATTTATTATATATCTTGTAAGTTTGGTGGCAGACCCTTGGTCTGCCACCTGTGGCTGATTAACATGTTGACCAATTTCGTTCCAACTTCACATGCTTAGTGCCGGATATGCATTCTCCAAGATGTAGAAGTTACAACAAAATCCGCATAGAAACAAAGGGGAGAAAAAACAATAAGAGTGGTTGTGAGCTTTTCATACATATGGATATAAGAAATAATACCATTGAACAATATATTTATATAATATATAATAAAATACAGCATAAAACATACTAACTCTATATTATGTGTAAAATCTGGCCCGCCAGGTGGCACCAGCTGCATATCTACTTTGTAGTCCCTAATTACTACTAATGTTCTTGTTTGTGTGCCGGACAGGTGTTTGAATCTGTTTATCCCCGATTGCCAGTATGTGGGAGGTGTTATCTTTATTATCAGTACCGGTTGCCGCCCATCGTGCACACATTTATTTTGAAAACAAATCTTAAAAAAAAACATTTCTTAACATATTGGGATGAAGTTTTTACGACGCTGATGCCAATTAACAGGTGATTTGTTTATTTGTTTTTTTCACTATTTTCCATATTTGGAAAAACCTCCTCTGTCACTGAGACCCTTAACAGCTCATGATGTGAGTTATCATCAGAGAGGTATGTCAGTTGTCTGTTATTGACTCCAGACTTTTTCCGTGACAACGGTTTGAGCTCTCTGATATCGATTTTTATGGGGGTGCAGGGTGTTCCTTAGACATCATTTTACTGTCCCCACCCTCCACTCGTAGAAGCCTCCAGGCCATGATGCTCTGGGTGGTATGAATTTCTAGTAGCCCTGCTGTTAGTTTATGGCAGTGCAAACGACTTAGTAATCCCAGACCTCCTTCAGGCATGCTTCCCCTCCCACCAAGCTGGACCCATTGTTTGAGATTATCAAATTGGCGGACAGCAAATCTGTGAAAGGCCTGAATGAATGACTGAACTCATATCAGTAGTCACCTCTAAGGGAACTTCCCGAGCGGTGGCAGATGTGAAAAGACAGATGTATGCCTTCACGGGGATTTTGTCCCTGTTCCCAGTTAGGGTTATTGCTCCTGTGAAGTCCACCATGGTAGTCTAAAAGGGACGAAGGTGCACAACTCGTTCCTTAGGGATAGTAGAGGTTCTGGGTAAAGACACACTCGGGCATTGTATCACCAATAATTTTTAGATTAAAAGTTTCATAATCCTTGCCATATGTTTGTTCCTGGGCTTGTTTTACCCAGTATTTTAGAGTACTAGGGAGGTTATATTTGATTCCCACCCTCTGTAGGAAGTCAAACACCCTCTATGTGACTAAGAAGTTTATTTAATTCAGATTACTGAGTGCAATAGATTACTGAATTCGAGCATGGCTCTGGGATCTCAGTCGGAGCAGTGACATTGTGACAAAAGTAAGTGACAGTGACAAAAGTCATCACAATGACTTTTGGTTTTTGTTTAGGCCACTGGTCACTGGCTAGCCACTGAAGCCCATGGAACCACATCTCGGCTTTAGATAACTGTTTAAAAATCAAACCTCTGGAGCGAGTGTCGGCTGGGTTCTCCTTAGTGGGTACATACCAGAGCTTGTATAAAGCTAACAAATTTTGAATTTACTCTAAACGGTTGCTAACATATGCGGTTTTTTGTTATTATTATTGCGAACCAACTGTAACACTGCCTCATTATCTAACCACACAACTGTTAGTTCAAAGTGAATGCTGTTCAATGTTTTGGTCAGATAATGAGCTAGACATACCCCAAGTAGCAAGGCAGTTAATTCCAGTTGAGGAAATGACCACTTCTTTGCGGTGCCACTCTGACTTCAGATGTGAGCAAATTTGCTTGCCCATTTGTTACTAGTTATTTTGCAGTGCCGTAAGCATACCCTGAGGCATCGCAGAACACATGCAGGTGAATTGGTTGATCTTGATTAGTAGTTGGAGGGAACTTTACAGTCTCCATGGCATTTAAATCTTTCACCAACCACAGCTATTTATCTTGAAGTGTTGGAGTCAGAAGATCATTTAAGCCTATTTTCTCCATCCAGCATTCCTGCATCCAAAACTTTCCCTTAATTAATAACAGACTTAATAGTCCTAAGGGGTCGAAGGATTTGCTTACTTGGGAGAGTAGTTTCCTCATGGTCAAGTTGGTGGTTTAAGTTTCATCCAAGTTCTAGTTTCTGACTGTGAGTAAGTAAGTAATAATCAAAAGAAGGCACCAAACTGGGAAGGCTATGTAGCACCACCACATTTGCGGAGTAATCAGAGGCCGCTAAATATCACCAAGGATGCCAATACAAGAACAGAAATGCATAGAGCAAATGATATCAAAAGTATCCGATTCACCAAGATTTCTATCGAGGACAATTGACCGCGAGGGATGGTCGGAAAGCAAGACACACACTCGACCTGGAAGTCAGGACAATCAACAAGAATGTGCACGACCGTAAGAGGAACAATGCAATTTCGATAATAAGGAGCAGGGCGGCGCGCCATTAAGTGACCGTGAGTTAAACGTATATGGCCAATACGTAACCTAGCCAGAGCAGTTACCCATTGTCAGTTATGGTGGTAGGAGGAAGGCCACAAGGACATAAGACTCCTAAAAGTACGCAGTTTGTTACCAGTAACAGAGGACCAACAACCCTGCCAACGGGCAAGGATGGAGGAATGAATAACTGGGTAAAAGTCGGAATAAGGAATACCTTTACAGGAGATAAAACAAGTGTGGATAGCTTCCTTAGCTTCCTTGGCAGCATCCGCACGTTCATTTAAAGAGACACCAACATGGCTGGGAGCCCAGCAAAACTCTACCGACTTAAATTTACGGGAGATAAGAAACAGCCAATGTTAATCTCGATGTTCACTGGGTGGACCGGATTAAAGGACCCCAAAGCCATAAGGGCACTACGAGAGTCAACTACCACTACAAAGGAGGATTAACAACGAGAAAGCAGGAGACGAAGAGCATAGAGAATAGCATGAAGTTCTGCTGTAAAGATGCTAGCCTCCAGAGGAAGGCGACACATATGAGTGTGGTCAGGAAAAACAACAGAGTAGCCTACACCGTCAGCAGAGGTCAGCAGACTTAGACCCATCGGTGAAGATGAAAACAAAGTGTGAGTGTAAAGAAAAGTGCTCAAGGAAAGGTGTTTCAGAACCATAGGACGGGTAAAAACTTTAGTGATGCTGGTCAGAGAAGTACAAAATTTGGAAAGGAAGACCCTCCACGGGGGCAAGGAGG